TATCAATGCATCTTAATTGCATGTGTTATCAATTCCAAACTGAAGAAGTTGGTAGCTTTAAATTTTGTCATCATTGGCTTTAGTTTTTTGTGTGTATATTTGAATAATCGTGGTATTAACAGGTTTCTTTGTAGGAGTTTATGAACATTGTTCTATCACAAACAGCATTTTCTTTCAAGATGGATCTTGAAATGCTCTTTTTGATTTGATTTCAAATCAGAAATTTGACATTTCTGGCATAGTAAGCGATATAATTATCTCATTCAAAATGGCCAGTATCTGTCCATATCAGCTCACACTAATGCATTGTCTTTATGCATTCCATTTTATTTATAATGACTTCTAATTTTCCTTGACTCATATTTCATATATTTCACAATTTGATTATTGATGGATGTTTGTAACTGTTTCTTCTCATTTTGAGTTGTGCCCATCATCAGATGAAGGTTCTAAAAGCTTTGCTCCATCCATATCATTAATATTAACTCTACTTTTAGGAGGCAGCTCTTCCTCAATCATACTTTGAGTAACTTCCAACCTGAGGGGCTCATTTTCTGGCACTATATCAGACAGTGTTCTGCTGCCATGGATAAGATTTTGGCTAACCCTTCAGAAGTGATTCAGCCTCTCCTTCTTCCTTGTCTCTCTTAGTCTGGAAGTTCTACTAAAACCTGTCTAAAATGGGTGACCCTGATGGTATTTAAAATACTGGTGATACAGCTTCCAGCATCACAACACACAAACTACCACAATATGACAAACTAGAAAACAAATGTTTTTTTTGGACTAGTGGCTTATAAGTCTTCAAAACCCTTTCACATGGTTTTATCATATGATACTCCCAACAATCTTCTGGAATAGAGGGGGCATGTATCATGTTACAGATGAGAAATTAGGACCTTGAGAGGCTAAACAATTAATAATTCAAGTCTAATAAAGGACAAAGCTAGGAAAATAAAGCATATTACTATATCCAAGTAGGAAGTATAGTGAAAGAAAATTGTGTTAGACAGACCTAGCATCAAATTCTAATTTGACCACTTATTAGGTACATATTTTGATTAAGTATTTTGATGAGCCTCAGCTAACTAATTTCTAAAACTGAGTTAATAAAAATTATTTAAAGGGTTTTTTTAAAAAGTTACATACAGTAACAGATTATATGGATCATAATCAAACTCTCAAGAATAGTTCTCCCCAACCCACTCTTTATCATCCATCCATTCTCACTTATTCCTTTTTCTACCTCTGCATGTCCATTCATAAATCCACCATGTGATTGATTCTAGGAGACAGTGTAGGATAATGGAATAAAAAACAGAGATTATGGAATCTTGACAGCTGCAGTTTGAATTTTCCATTACTCAATAACTGTGGTCTTGGGACCTCAGTGCCTAGCTTCCTCCTAAGCAAAGAAAAGACTAAACGGCTATTTAAAGGTCCAATGAGAGTTAGTATGAAACATGCCTACCATCAGGTATATGCTAATTGTGCTGTAAATGACAATTTCCTTCCTGCTCTCTTCTTCATTAATTAATTCAACATTCATATCTTCAGTGATTACCATGTACTACATATTCACTATACTAGTAGCCCTTAATTTCAGAACATACTAGGGACTTGGCCAGTTGAAAATGTGTCTTCCATTATTACTAAAGTTACAAAAATTTTGTTTTGGTTTTTCTATAACAGAAAAGACCCAAAATTAGTCTAACAATGATGTTTCTTGGGTTTAGACATGCCATAGATGTCAATGAGAGTCTTATCTGTGGTTGTCACACTTTTGTGTGTCTATGAAAGCAAGACATCCCCAGGGCTCTGCTGTAGCTGTAAGCCTCGTTTCCACAGTTAATATGGGAGGGAAAACTTTAGACTAAGCCTCGGGTCTCCTCTGTGTGCAGAGTTTTGTAACACAGCAAAACATGCTTGGGCCAAAGGGCCCCTCAGCTCACAGCCACACTCTGATAATGTGGCAAGAGAAGACACAAGGGAAATTGCATGGAAAATCCAGCTTAGTCAACAGTTTGTTCCTTCCACAGCCACATGTCTCCTTTTTCATGTCTATGCTTTATCCTTTAGCCACATTATTTCTATGAGCCCTGTTCTTGTCACCCCGTACTTTTTTTATAGTTGATAAAATTTAGAGGGGAGGAAATATCTAAAGAAATCTAACATGAAACAGGAGACAAAAGCAGTTGAGGTTAAAGTTTCTAAAAGGGAAAGAGCCTTAAAAAAATGAGGAGCATGTAGATCAGACACTAATATGAAAATCACATTTAGTATGCATTCAGAATTTAGCAGGATAAATGCAGTAGCTATTTTGGCAGAATTTGAAATTTTATGTTTATTTGGTTTGTTTTGTTTTACAATGCCTGAAACCTTTGTGGAGTCCCTCATTTTATTGATCCATATTCCAAATGTATTGATTTTTCATTTCAACTTTTATGAAATATTGCACGTTTCAGGGATTTGTTTGCTAGCATCTCTTGTGGCACCTTAAGACTCCGATTCAAGTCCAAATTCCTGCCACATGACTCCCAGTAACCTTGTTGCTTGTATTGGTAAGCAGGTGGGCTTTCACCAAAGATTGAGAGGTACCACATTTCTGTGGGGAAAGCCACAGGGAAGTGAAACCTTTAATATAAAGAAGACTTCTGAAAAACATGTGATTAAAAGACTGCAGTTTAGCCTAAGTTTTTCACACAAGTCAGAGTTTGCCCTCTTTTTGGTTCTGCAGTCAACAGGGAAGACAGATCTGGCTGTTAGACCTGTTAGATGACTTTAAGGAAACATACCAGTGAGCTGCATAGACAAGGACTGAGGGAAGCATGATGGAGTTAATACACCAGTATCTTGTTTGCATTGGAGAAGGTTGTTAGCTGCCATCTAGTTAGCCCTGACTCATGACAACCCCATGAACCATGTGATCTATAGGACTTTCCTTGGCTGATTTTGGGAAGATTGCCAGGTCTTTCTTCCTTGTTCTTCTTAGTCCCTAGGCTCTGCTGAAACCTGTTCAGCATCATAACAACACACAAGTCTCCACTGATAGACAGTGGTGGTTGTACCTGAGGTGCATTGACTGGGAAATGAACCCTGCTCTCCTTCATGGAAAATGAGCATTCTACTGCTGAACTACCACTGGCTTCCTGGGGAGATTGGTAACCTATAAAGTATTTGAGATTGTGAAATACTGTCCTTATCTCCCTTCTCCATCCTCACTCCAAACCCAGTTCAAAAAAAAGAATAGTTTCTGAAGGGCTCATCCAGAACAAGTCAGTTCCATCCTAAAAAAAAGGCTAAAGCTGTTTTCAGCTTGGTTTTGATCTGTTCCTGAGTTAACATTTTAAGCATAGCCTCAGCAGACCAGGAAATTGTTTCTCTCCCTATGGACTGTTAGACTTCATTTTTTCAAAGCATTGCTGGATGTTTAAAGATGAACAGCTTGAAAAAGGAAAGCAGAGAATAATAGGCTGTCATGCAGTTAGCATTTCAGAGGTAGGGGCAAAATCCAAAGTGTATTGCTCAAAAGAATGGCTGATCTATAGGCACAAAACAAAAGCAATTTTGCTCATTAAAATTGACCTCAAAATCTTAGAACGTACCCTCTGCCCTTCACTATACCAAACACTCAAGGGCTTTTGTTTCATGAGTTATTTTCCTAGGATGCTGTATTGCTTCTCCTATCTTCGTATTTCTTCTTTATGGGTTTTTTTTTTTTTTTTTTTTGCTTTTCTTCCTCTTTTCTTTATTTATCCTTATTTATCCCACCTTTCTGTCATTTTTTTTTCTTCTGAATTTCTCTCTCCTCAACCCTAATAACTCTTTTTTCTTTAACAAACCCCTGGGTGGTATAAACAGCTAAGCACTTGATTGCTGAAAGGTTGGTGGGTCCAACACACCCAGAAGTGCCTTGGAAAACAAAGCCTGCTGATCTGCTTTCAGAAGGTCACAACTGGGAGAAGCCTATGTAGCACAGTTGTACTCAGACCCACATGGGGTTGCCATGAGTAGGACCTCACAACAAGGCAACTGGTTACTGATTAATATGAAATTAGATTGTTTTTTGAAATATTTGTGAATACATTTTTATATTCTCTGATCTTGTTTTCCAAAACTCATGTGATTTGAAAAGTCTTTAATTCTGTCTGTACTAGTTGTTGTTGTTAAGTGCCATCAAGTTGGCTTCGACTCATAGTGACCCTGTGCATGGCTTCTGAGGAGAGATGGTAAGCCTGAACCACCAACCCTATAGTTCAAACACACCTTATGGTCAAGTGCTTATCTTACAGTGCCTACATCAGGACTGCCAAGTCTGTACTAATTGCACATTAATTATTAAGTGTTTGTTTAAAAAGGCTCACATAACTCAGACAGATTATACTGATGAAACAGTTTAATGTAAGCAGAGGATACAACACTGAAACAATAGCGGAGAGATGTGCATTAGAGCGATGTCAAGAGCTCAGTTACAGCTTTATTTGTCCTTTCACTCCTGGGTCTTACAGAACAAGCTTTGTCACCAGGTTTTAAATCACCACAAGTATGCATGCCAACATCGTGGACCCAGGAAATCTAGGCTCTTTTCACTGTGAGGTCCTTCATAGTGAGCTGGAAACATAAGCATATTCCAACTATCTGACAAGTCTCAAGCACTGAAACCTTTAGTTCCACCAAAACCAATGATAGCAAATCCAGTTATCATCGTTAAACAATGCTAACAGACTGGGAGATTCTTCCCTAAAAAAACCTTACAGATCCAAGGTGGCAAAACAGTACTTATCTCTGGTTAATACATTTTTGAAGTTGAGATCAAGGCTCAGTATAGCTCAGGAACCCTGAAGAGAAGTATGTGGTCACTTTAGACCCACTGAAGTTAATCCACTCTTTCCCTCAGAAACAAAATCTCTAATCTAACTTTGAAATGGAACTAAAATGGTTCTTTGCTAGGAGTCCAAAGTCAGTGTTTCCAAAGTAGATGCTCCTCCCCGAAGGCTGATTTAAACAAAATGGAAAGGATGAGCTGTGGCAGGCAGGTCTTTCTCCCTCTGGCAGGCCTCCTTCTCTGCCCTCACTTTCCACTTCATCTCCAGAATGGCCCTTTCCACTTCCTCCACTGCTCGCTCTCTTCTTTCTACAGCCTTCTCCCGCCATTCCACTGCCTTCTCCCTCCTAACTACTTCTCTTTCCCTTTGGCTGGCCCATAAAGCTAGGGCCCCCACCTGCTCCAGGAGCCTGGCCCAGTCACCCTCAATGCCCAATGGGAGCTGGGACCCTTGAGGTCTTGGGTCTTGGCGCTGCCCTGTCTGACCATGGCCACTTTTCTCCAACTCCTCTTTGTGCATGCTTTTCAGATGTTTCCACAAGGCTGTGGTGCCCACATTAACTCCAGGGCCACGACTCACCTGTCGGCCACAAAGACGGCAGGTGGCATATTGGTTGGGGTGGTGCCCAGCTCGTGCAGGAGCCAGGTGGAAATATTCCCATGCCTCAGAGAAGCGGGTTCCCCTATTGTGGGGCACTGGGGTGGACATGGCACTTGCCAGTGGACCAACCAATTCTCCTGTCTCACTGGTCTCCTCCTCCTTCATCTCTAAATCCCCTTTTGCCTTCACCCTAATTCCTTCATCTTCCTCCTCTTCCCGTCTCATCCTGCCTTCTCTTCTACAACTTTCCTTGTGAGGATACTTAGACCTGAGCCAACAGCCTTAGTTGAACCAGAAGACTGAATGTGTAATTGGGAAGGGACTCTGGTAATTCTTAGGGATTTACAATAATGTTCAAAGTGTGGTTACCCCTGTGGTATAGGGTTTCCTTCTTTCTGCTTCCTTGGAGAGTAAAACCACAGAACCAAGAAAATGGCCTATGAAGTCCTCAGGTACCTTCTCTCCATACCACAGATACTTACTGATCCCTCTTTGCTCAGGCAAAGAAACAAAATAAGTGAGTTCCTATAGCAAAAACTTTCCCTGCCCAACAATTACAAAGCTCTTCGGTGAAAATGCTGTCTGCATCAACCAACACCGTGGGTGTTTTAAATCTTGAAAGTTTTAGGTTTTCTTTTGACTCTTCTCTTGTTTTTTTTTTCTGTTTCTTTACTCTTTGTAGTACCTATAAAGTATGTTTTCACCTTTGCAGTCAGGAAGAACAAGATTTAAGAGCTAACCTTCACCAGGCCTGTATAAGAGTTTCCGAGGAGCAATCCTGTATAGGGTTTCTGGAGAGCAGCTGGTGAGCTTGGACCACCAACCTCGTGGTTCAAACCAACCTCACAGTCCAGTGAATTAATCCACAGTGCCACACCAGGTCTCCTTTGGAGTAGGTAAAAGCAAGCAGGGACAAATGCTGATGTAAGAGAGACTTTTACCTCCTCACACCATTGCAAAAAGCAGTGCTACAAAGCCCATCAGGGTTGGATAATAAAGTCCCAAAAGTGAGTTCAGTCTGTCTCCACACTGGTTCCTGGAAGTCTGGGAGTCTAAGAAATCCAAACAGCAGGCTTAGTTGTCTTCAACAGGAGTTGTTGGAATGGGTGGAAGAGAAAAAGATGGAGTGTCCTGAGATGAAATCCAACTCAACAGACCTGGTGCCTGGTCATCTGGCAAGCAGTTCACAGTACTCCACCTTCCCTGGCACCATCATCTGCAGAGCCAACAGCCAATAAAACATTATTTTATTTCAAGGATAAATCACCAAGTGAAAAATTATATAGCATTTTAAAGACTATATAATTCTGTGCATGGGGTCACTATGAGTCGATTCCGACTCGATGGCACCTGACAACAGCAACATTTTAAAGACAGCCTGACTTCTCTCTCCCTTTCAATTTTTTTAAGGGGGAATAGGGGGAAAGGGGTGTGGGGGAGAGCTATTTCTTAAGTGAGTGAAAGATTTATTCATCAAACTCTGCAACCCAGAACAGTTAGGAAATTCCCTCCCCTCCCCAAGTGGGTACTTACAAAGGCAGGCTCTGGACTTGCTCCTTGTCTCTCCAGTGCGGAGTGAGAATACCCCTGCACTCTGGATCACTATTAACTGAGCCCTGCCTAGGGGAGGGCACCTCTAGTTCCTGCTTCCTCCTACTTCTGCTGAAACCCTGTTTCCCAGTGGGTGTGTCCCCTGCCTGTCAGGTTTCTCTGTAACACTTACATCCAAATTCACATTGTCTCCACCCACCCCATCCCCCACTAATAGAAAAAAGACATTTCCAGCAAGCACCTACAAGTCTCAGTTTTGTTTCCCTATGACTAGATCATCTGGTCTCTCAAGCAAAGAGTGAGATATAGGGGGATGGGGAAGAGGGTGAAATATGGCACAGAAACCACATGTTTCAAGGACACTGGTGGTTTTTAATAGTTTGTCAAATTGTCAGATCATGAATCTTGATTTGAGGTTTTGAAACTATGGTTACTGTAAATAGAACCAACAGAAAGGTCAAAGGAACTTAAAGAAAAGGGAAGATTAAGTGAATGAAAACTCTTGTTAAAACAAAAAAAAAATCTTACTAAACCAATGACAGAAATTGATTGACATGTATTTAGTAGACATTGGCCAATCGGGTAACATTTGGACTAGAAAATTAAAAATGTTCCTAAAATTAAAGATTAATGCTTACAGACATTGTCATGGAAACAGGGGCTAGAACAGTATTTACATAATAACAGTTTACCCTGAAGTACAGCTTCTCATCTGACCTTGGAGTTTCTATTTCTCAAAACTAAATGCACAAGACCAAGCCTCAGGAGCTAAGCCAGATCCGTCAGTGAGCCTCAGACTTTGGGAACAGAAAAATGTGTATGCAACACACTACCAGCACTCCAATGGCCAGCAACAACACTGCCAGCATAGCACAAGCCAGGAAGCTGGTAGAGCAGCTGAAGATGGAAGCCAACATTGATAGGATAAATGTATCCAAGGCACCTATAGACTTGATGGCCTATTACGACAAAGCACATGCCAAGGAGATCCCCTCCTGACCCCAGTTCTGGCTTCAGAAAACCCATTCAAGGAGAAGAAGTTCTTCTGTGCCATCCTTTAAATCTTCATGAGGAGCCCACAGAACCTCAGGGCTCCTGAGACACTGATGTAGTTTTTAGCAAAGTGGGTGCCTTTCTAGTCCACAATATTTAAAGCAAGGGATGAGAACTGTCCTGAAAGTTCCAGTCTCCTTCACATGTTTAAAGAACCAACCCCTTTACAAGAATGAAAAGGACCCTCATCAAGAGCTAAGAGATTTGATATCTTTAGAACTGCCTAGAGGAGGAGAATATGTAAAGATAAAATTGGAGTCACTTTCTTTCTGCTATCCCTCTAAAACCTAATGTTTCTGCTTCATAGTTTAAAAAATGAAAATTAAAACAGACAGCTGTACTGAGCTAAGATATATATGACCTTCTTGGAATGACTATTGTCTTTAGAATAGCCTTTGATATGCTGACTTGTCCATTGATGACATTAATGTAGTCTTTGTGCCTTTCTTTCATTTCTGTCTTCCTACCTCCCTCATTCGAGTAGCACAGAGAGAAGGCTCTTGTCTGTAAAACTGAGCTCCAAGGGTACCTAAGATGTTTAGGGAGATGGTTCCCATGGTGTCTCCTCATGGTAGTAAAAAGAAGCCAGTCGTCTCTGTTCTCTTATCACTATTCCTAACATTTGTACATAATAGCTTTGATTCTGCAAGTAAAAGTAAATCATGTGTTGTGACTGGTGCTTTCATATATTTGCGACAATTTTTGAATAATACTGCACGAAAATGTTCCTCTGTTACATTCAGTCAGAAGTTTTATTGTTTTACTATAAAGCTAGGAAAAGAAAAGAGAAAGAAGTTGGGAGAGAAAACTTAGTATTTGGAAAATTGCACCTTAGCCATGCCTAAAATATCTCCTAGTCAACAGGGCCATAAATGCCTCTTTAAAATAGTTTCCAGAATCCAAAGCATTTTGGTTTTATCTTGGATCCAGGGCAGCATATGTACCACCAAGCACTTAAAGGTTCATCAACAATCAGTTGGGAGCTATTTTGCAACAGATTGCATAAATCCTGTTTTTCTTTTCCAGAGTCAGGAAATTCTACATTGAAAGAACACTCTCTGTTCTTAGCAGAAATACACTGACCCTCCTTTGTTGAAGTGGCAGGAGAAATAAGCCCACAGGCTCATTCTAGAACTCTGGTTTTTGGCCCAACAGGAAAGGATCCCAGGTCCAGTGAGCCCACTATTTGTGTGGCAGGGGTAGCCCCATTGCTGACTCCACTGGGGAGGGCATTTTTATTGTTCATTCACCATATTTTTCAATGAAACCTTTTTTTGCTTTTGTTTTTGTTCTATACCTTGGTTGTGTTTTTTGATCTTTGTTTACAATTTCCTTACATCTAGCTCTCTGTCTGTCCAAGATCTGGTATTGAGTGGTTTCTCATTACAACTGCATCCTCCATCATACTGGGAAGCCCTGTAAGCCTTTGTCCTTTGTTTCTGTGCCATTCCTAATCCAAAGAGGCCTCAGGTACATCTTCTCATCTGTTTTGAAATCCCAAATGAATTTTGTATTCTACTCTCTCTCTTTCCCTTCCATTCTCTTCCTCCTGATTAAAAAAAAGAAAACGGAGGAAAAGAGAAGACAAAAATATGCCAAAGACAGATTTTGAAACAAACTTATTAAATATTTTCCTTAGCTCCTTTTATGGATACACTAAAAGCATAAAACATCCAATTAAATCATGTTTGGGTGGGAGGAAGGAGATACAGAAACATTTGTGGACAGTGTGGATACACTTTTATAACAAGATACTTCTGCCCAGACCTTGGTATTTTGTTACAGTCTGTGGTCTACTGATAAAAATTTATTTGGGGGTGGGGGAGAGAACCAAGAGTGTATGTCTTAAAGTACAATATTGCACAATTAGTTCATTTGTACTACAGAATCAGCTAAAATCTTATATTGTTTAAATGAGCCCATACATGACTATGTGGCCACAAAAAAAAAAAAAAAAAATTGTGAATAAAGTATGGTTTGGCAGCAATTAAGTCTCCTTTATAAAAACCAGATGATTTTCAAAATCCATGCCATTTCGTTATCTCAGAAGGATTCTTTTTCCTATATAAATCTAGATCTTTGGAACAATTAAAATGGAATTAAAATTTTCCAAAAGGATCATAACTCAAATCTGATCATTTAAAGTTAGGGAGTTCCAACTGCAGGTAACTTTTTATAAAGGGCAGAAAATACATAGACCATTTGAAATTAAATTTTAAAAATAGATTGGCTTATTCATAACTTCATGTCTGCTAACATAAAATTATAGTACCACTCTTTATATGAATTTTATCTTATTGATATTTTTAATCATAAAAGGGAAAATGTTTTTTGATTACTTATATCTCTAAAGAGATTGGTTTCTTTAAAAATTCAGCAATCATTTTCACTAGCATAATTTTATCTTAAGGGGTTGTTAGTGTTATGTGCCGTGGAGTTGGTTCTGACTCATAGCGACCCTGTACAGGGTTTCTGAGGCTACAGGAGCAGAAAGCCTCTTCTTTCTCCCCCAGAACAGCTGGTAGTTTCGAACTGCTGACCTTAAGGTTGGCAGCCCGATTTGTAACCACTACGCTACCAGAGCTCCTTAGGAAAATGCAGCTTAATTATTCAAGGCCCTAATTTCTGTATTTAATGTATGGCTGACTTATAATGAAAATCTGCCCTAGAATTAATTAATAAACAGTTATCAATAACCTAAAAAAAAAAAAAACTAAATCTACACAGGTAATTCTTCAAAAAAGAGCCCAATGTCCAAGGCAAAATGGGTTTTCCTGAACTACTAGCGAGGCTATTGTTTGACTCAAAAGTGACTTTTTAGAAACTAATTTTTCTCTAGGCTCAAGGTTCAAAAGATTTCAAGGCAGTGATTTGGGTGGGTCACCCCAACTGCATGGACACCAGAAATCTGAATTATAGAGTAAAAACTTATAAAAACTGAGAAGTTACATTTCAAATGGAAAAGAGAAAAAATATATATATCAAAAAGTGGGTAAAGAGGAGAATAAAAAGGAAAAAATCCAAATAGACATCAAGTGTTAGCAGACAAATAGAGAAACTTAAAAAAAAGATTTTTCTTTCTAGACTAAAAAACTAAATATGTTCAGAATAATTCTTTGAAAAGCCCTTTGATAAAGTTTCCATGTAATCATCAGCAAGCTAAATATGAGTCAACCTACAAATGATCACCATTTTAACAATTTTATTTGTGGAAATCTTGAATTTGATTAGTTTTTCAGACACATCAGTGCCATCATGCTCTGAGCCTCCAATTGCTTTCTCCTGTTATTAGGGCAGCATTCCCAACTTACACCTGTGCTTCAAGGCGCTCTGCTGCAGGTGGTTTCAGGTTTCATCCTGCTGCAGGAATTCCCCATGACTTCCCAAAACTGAACACCTGTATGTAGAATCCCAAGGTCATTTTTTCTTTGTCTTCCAACCATGACTCTTTAAGTAATTCCTGGATTTCTACCTTCTCTGTACCCCTACAGAACTGTCCAAATGTTTCTTTGACACTTACTGTATATTTCCTGGTACTTTTTCCCACTAATTTCATACTTATTTGGAATAATTTTAGAGAAATTATTTAGCTTGTCTCTCAGATGCAACAGATGCACAATGGGAGTACAAATGATTTTGACTTCTCTGCAGAGGACCGCGTGCATGTGCAAGTGTGTGTGTGCACATATACTCTTGTGTGTACTGACTTCTTCATATTCTTTTCAGACTGAATGAGTCTTCTTTCTTACTCAATTGGGTCAAATGTAAGTTCCCACTTGTAAAGACAGCGTCCTTTGCTCAGGAAAATCAGATACTCTTGACATCTCATAAGATCTTTGATCTCAAGTTAATTAAGTTTAGTCTGTGGCTTTTTAATTTTAGACAGACTGGGAGGAGTTTAGGACAAGAGCCATATTTATAAACCAAATATTTAAACACAGAGTCTGCCGCTGGTATGGAATATTTGAAATATGAATCATTGTAAAATATCTGAATTTAGCAGCTCACTTTCAAATTGACTTCTCAACTTTTTAGTAGTTGATAAGATATTCCTTCATTGAACCAATCATACTCATGAAACCCCACATATTCCTGATAGTGTCAGAACATCATGAGATAGGCATAGAGGAAATTAATCACAAAATGGTTAGACACTGGCTTTAACACAAACCTTTACAACTTTTCTTTTTTTTAACATTACTTCTTCTATATCTCTTACCTCACTTCATAGACCACTTCATAGAGATAAATGTTAATCTTCTGCATTGTATTGGATTAGATGAACTGACTTTGCTTTCCTTTATAAGAATGCTTTTTATGGGACTTGGGGCTTTGGGGGTCTTTTTCCCCAGAGCAAAGAGAGGCACTGTTTCATGGGTCTCCATCCCATCATTTAAATGTGTTGATTAAGTGAGAGTACTGGGAGATACAACAGTTAGTCCCCTTTGAAAGTTTCCTTGTCTCCTTGGAATTTTGATGGTGATATCCTGAAGGACATTAATCTGCACCTCAGTATGATTTTACCAGAAAAGTGTTACGTAGTACCTTGGCAGTGTTTTTTTCTCAGCTCTGTAGATCCAGACTCTGAGAGTAATAAGAATCTGGGAAGATTGACACACCCAAGTTTCATAAACTGGTTAACTAATATATTCATCAATTTGGGGAAATTGGCATACCCAATCTCTCTACAGGTTAACTTATATATTCATCAACTGTGAAGAATATTTGGGAACTAAGGATGAAAATATGCTGGCCATATATAAAATATAAAAATCTTTTGATGGGAAATAAGTAAGTAATTATAAATGAGATTATAATTTCTTAGGAGATCAGATAAAATAAAGGGAATAAAATAGTCTTACTGGGTATTTGTAACAGGATGCTAAAGAAATTACTATTTCCCAAAGAAGAAAACTTTTTAAACATAAGGAACATTAAATCTAAGCTCTCTACTTTTGTAATTGCCTGTTATTCCATCTCTTTCTTATTTTAATACAATATAATATGTTTTAGCAACAATACTGGAATGGATTCAGCAAACATAGTTTCCAGTTGTGCTATTAGGTACCTTCCACTCCTTTCAACTACTCTGTCTTGATTTCCCCAGTCATCAAACCATAATAAACGATTAGCCTTACCTATACCATAAGATTATTAAGAAGATAAAATAAAAAAGTTTTAATTAGGAAAATTCTGTAGAAGTTGTATTAAATAATGTCTATATGAAAAGACTTTTTATTTTGTTTTGTTTTGTTTTACTTGCTTGGTGGTTGTCACTGCAAATACATTGGTGAATGGAAACAGGATGTCGGTATCTTTTAGCTTTTGTTTTAATAGAATGTTTTTCTCTGGCCGCAGCCTATTATAATACTTTCCTTCTACCCTTTGGTTTCTATTGGTGGTTGTTGTTAAGTGCTGTCAAGTTGACTTCTAATCCATAGTGACACTGCATAGGGTTTCAGAGGAGTTTCTAATGAATTTAAATTGCCAACTTTACAGTTCAAACCAACTTTACAGTCCAGTGTATTAAACCACAGCACCACACCAGGACTCCTGGTTTCCATTTAGTACTATTTTATTCTGCCTGTGCAGTGTTGTGGTATCCTTTTTTCTAAGATTCAGAATCCAGATTTGTAATATCAGTATTGTTCTAGAGTCTTCTTAACTTAACATAGGATTCCAGCCATAAATCTCTATAAGAGACAAACAACGTAAAATCAACATCCTCTCTTAAAGAAACCCTACCTTGTATGAGGGGGTGCTTCCAAAGGTTTGTAGAAAAAGGAAGTAAAATATAATGGAAATTTTCCATGGAGGGTAAGTCAAAAAGTATTGCTACTAGAGTTCTAAGGAGCTCTGGTACTGTTGTGGTTATGAGTTGGGCTACTAACCTCAAGGTCAGCAGTTCAAAACTACCAGCTGTTCTGCGAAAGAAAGATGAGGCTTTCTGCTCCTGTAAAGATATATAGCCTCAGAATCCCTATGCAGGGTCCCTATGAGTCAGAACCCACTCCAAGGCACACTACCATCACCACCACCATCACTAGGGTTCTAGTTCATATGTGCACAAGTTTATTCCACACAAAATGTGTTTAAACATGTCTCTGTGATGAGCAGATGGCTGCAGAAAAGTTCTGTTGGGAGTACACTTGTCTTTGTCTTGCTAGGGTGCCTTCAAATAAGAGGATGGGAATCAACAGTGTAGTGCAAAGATCAACTAGCTCAAAGAACTTTTTATTGGTCACAAGATAAAAGCAAATGAAATGATTTTATGGAAGGAATCATAATTGGAGATGAGTTTAGGATTTACTAAGATGATCCAAAGAGCAAGGTCTAGACAAAACAGTGGCTTCCAAGGAGATCTGCTGAGCCAGTTAATTTCAAAGCAAAGAGGTCAGCTCAGAAGTTTATGACAACTTTTTTGGGGATCCTAAAAGGGTAATCTTGTTAGATTTTCTCAAGGGACACAGTTCAATCATGGGGCTCATTATGAAGAAGTTTTCTCTCAAAGCTGAAAGCTGCATTGGTGAGAAAACAGCCAGGAAAGTTGTGCCAAGTAATGTTTTCCCATCACGATAGTACACCTGCTCTTTCTTCAAGGGTAACAAGGACTGTCCTATGAGATTTAAAAACTTTACCCCACCCACCCTATTGCCCAGATTTCCCCCTTTCAGGCTTCTTATTGCTCCATTAAGTCAAAGAACATTTAAAAGGAACATGAATTGAGCTCCTCAGTATGCCAAAACTGCCATTGAACATGGTATAAATCAAAGAGCACAGACTTCTTTGGGAAAGAGTTGGAGAGACAGAAACACTGCCTTCAGAGGTTTATAGACTTAGATGCTGGATGTGCCGAGAAACAATAGCTTCACATTTTAATATTTTTGTTTAATAAAAGTTCTGTGCTGTGTAGCAATACTTTTTGACTTACCCTTGTATATCCAGTTAAGCATCATTTTGTGACCACCTCATGTGAATATATAAATATAAAGAGTAAATTTCTTCTGAATTTGCAAAAAAACAACTCTTTGTATTTTCCTTTCCCCAGAGAACATTTACCTGTTCAGTGAAGAATGTATTTCCCACAGCAAATCTCACATGGTTTCTAGATGGAGAATCTCTTCAAGGTGAAAAAGAAGGTAAGGAAAAAAGAAAGCAAGAAAACAAAGCAGAAGTTGTCATTGCCCAAGTTGATCTTGGCGTTTAGGAATAATTCTTGTTCCAAGAAAAACAATAGCTTACCTGCCAAATGTCATTCTCTGATACCACATTTGGCTCCAAATGCAACCGGAGGTAGCATTTCCCAGAGTGAAAGAAATACAGTTGACTCTGTCAAACCACATGTAAACACTGATCTCTTTCTTAATTTAGCAAAAGCAGATCTCATATGAATGCAAGCAGTTTAATTCAATATACATTTATTAATAATTGCATTTAGTTCATTAATACCATTGTCTTAAATCAATAAATTAATCTTTTTTTTCTTTTAAATTAGGATCTAGGAGGGAAAAAGTTTTTTTAAAAAAACAAACCACACTCGAGGAAATATATGTAAAGGACTTGGCTCTATATCAAGGAACAAGTTCACCAGGAGGATTATAAGTTCCTGGAATAAGAGCAAACCTTGAGACAAGCTCAGGTGATAATGCACAAAGCTATGTTTTTCATGGGAGATGACTGTGGCAGCCTCAGCCAGAGTGTTAATGTCCATCCCTCCCACCCCACCCTACCCAAACCCCGGACAACAGCCCTTCGCCTCTTGCTTGCGTCATTTTCCTCAAAGTCCAATATATTCTCAACAGCAACTGGGTCATATAACTCTTGCTGTAATGTTGTTTTAGTGGAAAAGATTTAAAGCTTATAAATGATGAATTATTACATTTATCATGATTCATTTTTGAGACTAACAGTGTTATAAATTCACTTTTAAAACACCCATAACAATGGTAACCGTGGGTTTGACAAAATTCAGTCTTGAGATTACATGTTAAAGGTACACAGGGGCTTCAAAAATGTGTGAAAAATTCCATGATCTTTTAAGTTATTTTCCATGAACTTTTAAAACACAACACCGCATGTGCCCCCTCCCCCAATTAAAAATAAGCTTTCCTATTAAATAAATCCTAATCTGAGGTATCCCATTATCCTCCCCTTGTGGTACTATTGGATAAGCACTGAACTGTAAGATTGGAATTCAAACCCCCAGCAGCTCAGTGGGAGAAAGATGAAACTTTCTGCATCCACACAATGCAATGGGTTTGGTTTTGGGTTTGGTTTGTTACCCTCCCAGCCCTGAGGCAAAGGTACCCCATTATACTCCCAGGTTTGAGGTATTCCATTACACTCCTAGCCCTGAGGCAGATGGTGTGCTCTGAATTCTATCAAAATGCAATTGCATTTGCTTATTACTTCAGCCAGTCATAACTTTGGAACTGTCATCATTAAAGACTTTTAAAGAAGCTGTGAACTGTGCTACAGTGACAGTTTTACATTAATTTCTTGCTGCCAAATATGTTCTTTGCAAGTTGTTCTAACAAAGGCGGTTATAAAAAGGTTCCATTGCTAAAGAAGATTAACAGAACCCATAATGATATTGCCTATAAATCAATTTGCAACTTATTTCACACACAAGAGGATACAATGTAAGTTATGTTAAAGTAAAGATATGCATCTCAGGCATACATTTAAAGTCTCTGGAGAGGTCCAGTGTGAACTCCTTCATAAAGGCAGAGTCAGATAGATGCATATTTTCTCTCCGATCAGGAACCAGCAATATGTGCAAAGTATATCTCAGAACCAGGGAGTCCTGGTGTGGTGCTTCAGGATAAACTCTGGACTGCTAATTGCAAGGTTGGAGGTTCAAACCCAACAGCCACTCCTTGGAAACTCTATTCAGGATTGCTATGAGTCGGAATGGACTTGATGGTACTTAACCACAACAATAACAAAGGTGCCTAAAATGGGGTCTCAGTTGAAGTAGTTCTCTATATTCTGGTGGTCATGTAGGTATATTCCTGTTGCATAACCACATTCAACAACAGATCCCTCCCGGGGACCAAGTGCAAACCATCAATCTCAATGCTATCACTGAGCACTGCTGACAAGCTGGGACAGTCTGCCCCAAGCCCTCTTGAAACAACTGTTCATCTCCTGTGGATATGGTCGATGGTCACAATGTACACTATTAAGTATATTTCATACTTGACCAAGGATCAGTGTCATGCAGGAACTTGAACAACACAGTTCAGGTTAATTCTAGGCCTAGTAGAATTAATCCTAGATGGATTGGCCAAATAGCAACATCAATGGACTCAAGCGTGGCAACAATAGTGAGGTTGGCCCAGGATCAGGCAGTGTTTCGTTCTGCTGTACATAGGGTTGCTATGAGTTGGTAGTGACTCAATGGTGCCTAACAACAACAACAACAACACAGAGATTGCTTTTTGACCACTTTAGACTCTACTCAATGACATTGAAACATCTCCAGCCAGGACTTGGTATTCCTTTCTGGTTCATATAGAAAAAACTGGTGACTTAACCATATTCTGCTCTGTCCCTTAGCAATATATATTACCAATGAAGAGAGAAAAGACAAAGGCGGATATTTGGAACTGAAGTCTGTTTTGACAAAGGTGTTCATTAATGAAACAGCCCAAATGAACAACCTGACCATCTGGTGTAAAGCTCTGTTTCCAGTCCCTGGGAATAAAGTATGGAGTCTCTCATCCGAAAAGATCTACTTTTCATTAGGTAAGTTGTCAATAAATCAATAAGGTTGACCAAGACAATCCCAAGTTCAGAACATGTCTAATGGAAGAAAATAGGTTACTCATTATTTCCATAATATTTTAATCTTGGAAAACTATGTAATTCATAAATGTTGAAATTCCAGTCTGCAAATATTTTTGACAAATGAGATTCTAACAAAAACAATTTCTTCAGATAAGGAGTTGCTGGTTCCTATGCTCCCATTAAAACTTTCTATTAAATATCTAAATATTGTTGAAACCCCATTAATTATAACTCTTAATTAATTGGCACATCTGTCAATGTCAAGCGACTACATCATGGTAAATAATCCTAATATTGATGTTTAAAAAGACAATTAAAAATCCTAAAATTTCTTTTGGTCATTAGAAATATCCAAATATATACTTTTCATGTTTTTTTAATGAATAATTCATATATGGCATATTGAAGGTAAGGGCTTTTTTGCTGTGGGCTAATGTGTCAGACTACAAAGTCATTTGAACTGCAAGGTCGGTGGTTCAAACTCACCAGCTGCTCCTTGGAAATCCTATACAGGATCGCTATGGATTGAAACGACTCAATGGCACTTAACAACAAGCATAAAATTGGCGTGCTGGTGTGGAACTATAGGATAAGCACATAAGGTTGGTTTGAACTGCAAGGTCAGCAGTTCAAACTCACCAGCCCCTCCTTGGAAACTCTATACATGGTTGCTATGAGTTGGAACCAACTCAACAGCACTTAATAACAACAACAGTATAAAGTAAAATGTCTGACATATATTTGTTGTTGTTGTTGTTGAATTGGACTTATAATAACCCTATGTACAACAGAAAGAAACACTGTGTGGTCTTCACAACTAATGTTATGTCTGAGCCCATTGTTGTAGCATTGTGTGATTCTGTCTCATTGAGGATCTTCCTATTGTACATTGGCCTTCACTTTATCAAGTATGAAGTCCTTCTCCAGGGACTGGTACCTCCTGATAGCATGTCCAAAGTACATTAGATGATGTCTTGCCACTTCTTGTCACTTCTAAGGATCAATCGGCCTTACTTTTTCCAAAACAGGTCTATTTGTTCTTCTGGAAATCCATGATGTAGTCAGTACTTTTCCTCAACATCATAATTCAAATGCATTGATTCTTCTATGGTCTTCCTTATTCCTTGTCCAACTTGTGGTTAACAGTACAGTGCTTATCCTACAGCACCACACCAGAACTCCATATGCATATGAGGCAATTGAAAATACCATGGTTTGAGTCAGGCACACCTTAGTCCTCAAACTGACATCTTTACTCTTTAACACTTTGCACAGGTCTTGTGAAGCTGATTTGCCCAGTGCAATACATTGCTTGATTTCTTGACTGCTGCTTCCATAGGGATTGATTGTGGATCCAAGTAAAATGAAATCTTTAACAACTTCAGTCATTTCTTCACTTAGCATTATGTTATTTATACATCCAATGGTGGGGATTTTTGTTTTCTGTACATTGAGTAAAATAATCAATACTGAAGGCAGTATTCTTTGATCTTCATCAGTAAGTGCTTTAAGTCCTCTTTGCTTCCAGCAAGCAATGTTGTGTTATCTACATATTGCTAATGAGCGTTCATCTGATCCTGATGCCAAATTCTCCATATAGTCCAGATTTTCAGATTATTTGCTCAGCATACAGATTGAGTAAATATAGAGAAAGGATATAACTCTGATGCACCCCTTTCCTGATTTAAAATCATTCAGAATCCCTTTGTTCTGTTCAAATGACAGCTTCTTGGTCTATGTTCAGGTTCCTCATGAGCACAAGTAAATGTTCTGGAATACCCATTCTTCACCGTGTTATCTATAGTTTGTTACGATCCACACAGTTGATTGCCTTGCCTAGTCGATAAAGCACAAGTCATCAACTTTCTGGTATTCTCAGTTTTCAGTCAACATCCATCTGATATCCCTCATTCCACATCCTCTTCTGAATCTGGCTTGAATTTCTGGCAGCTCCTTCTGGATGCACTGTTGAAATGATTTTTAATTATCTTCAGCAACATTTTACTTGTAATATTAATGATACTGTTAAGATATTTATGCATTCTTTTGGGTAACCTTTCTTTGGAATGGGTACAAATATGAATTTCTTCCTGTTGGTTGGCCAGGTTGTTGTTAAATACCATAAAGTTGGTTCCGACTCATAGTGACCCTGCACGGTTTCTGAGACTGCAAATCTTTACGGGAGTTGCCCAGGTAGCTGTCTTCAAAATTTCTTGGCATAGACTAGTGATTGCTTCCAGTGCTGCAACAATTTGTGGAAACATTTCAATTGGTATTCCTTCAATTTCTGAAGCCTTGTTTCTCACTGATGCCTTCAGTGCAGCTTGGACTTCTTCCTTCAATACCCTTGGGTCCTTGATCATAAGCTATTTCTAAAAATGTTTGCACATTGACCAATTCTTTTTGGTTCGGTGACTCTATGAATTCCTTATATCATCTTTTGATGCTTTCTGCATCATTCAATATTTTACCCATGTTGTTGTTGTTAGGTGCTAGCGAGTTGGTAGAATCATTCAATATTGCAGTTAGAGCTTGAGTTTTTTCTTCAGTCCTTTCAACTTGAGAAATACTGAATGTGTTCTTCCCTTTTCTAACTTTAGGCCATTGCACATTTTATTATAATATTTGACTTTGTCTTTTCTAGATGTCCTCTGAAATTTTCTGTTCAGCTCTTTCACATAATTATTTTTTCCATTACCTTTAGCTTTTCTCTGTTCAAAAAGACTAAAATGTGTCTTCTTTGATACATTTTAGTCCTTTTGTTTCTTTCCTGTTGTTTTAATGATCTTTTGTTTTCTTCATGTATGATGTTCTTTATGTCATCTTACAACTCATCTAGTTAAATAATTAGTGTCTAATGAGTCAAATACATTCCTGAAATGGTCTTTATATGTACAAGGATTATACTCAAGATCATATTTTGGCTCTTGTGGACTTGTTTTAATTTTCTTCAGTTTCAGCTTGAACTTGCATGTGAGCAATTGATGTTCCAGACTTGTTTGGCTGGCTGATTGTACTGAGTTTCTCCACCATCTCTTCCAAAGATAAAGTAAATTTGATTACTTTTTATTCCAGTTGGAGAAGTCCACAAGTATAGTTACCATTTATGTTGCAGAAAAAGTATGTGCAATGAATAAGTATTACAAAATTCTATCATGTTGTTTCTATCACCAAGGTCATGTTTTCCGATCCCTGCTCTTTGTTTTCAAATTTTGCTTTCCAGTTACCAGTAATTATCAATACACCTTGATTCCATATTGTTTCAATTTCAGACAGAATTCTTCAATTTCCTCATCATTGATATTGGCGGTTGGTGTGTAAATTTGAATAATAGTTGTAGTAATTGGCCTTCATTGTAAGTGTATGGATATTATCCTGTCACAGACACCATTGTACTTCAAGATAGATCATAAACTATTCTTTTTGAGGATGGATATGACTTCACTGCTCTTCAATTTGTCATCCTGGTGTGGTGCTGTGGATTAATGCACCAGACTGCAATGTCATTTGAATCTCATAGTCAGTGGTTCAAGCTTACCATTCATTCCTTGGAAACCCTATACAGGGTCGCTATGGGTCAGAATCGATTTGACAGCACCACTTAACAACAACAACACACAGAAGACTTTTATTAATTGTTCTTTTTTTTCATTTGGAAGTTGATATTTAAAATCATTTTGCTTATTAAGCTAATTGAGTAACCAAAATAATCACTGCCCTGAGTCAGAATAGATAATGTTGTTGGAAAAAATGGAAATAATTGGAAAACATGATCTTGGTGACAGAAATGTTGTTGGAAAACATGACCTTGGTGACAGAAACAACATGAATAGATAATAGATATTATAGGTAACAAAATAGATATTCTGCTACATGAAAGATATGAAAAATGTCTCAACAAATAATGTGGCATCAAAGAGCAAAAAAAAAAAGCCACAACAACAAACCAGTTGCTATAGAGCCCATCCCAACTAGGAAGAGGCTGTCAGAGCAGCACTGTGTTCCATAGGGTTGTCAGTGGATGGTGATTTGGAAATACATGGTCAGGCCTTTCTTTTGAGGTTCCTCTAGGTGGACTTTCAATTAGCATACAAGTACATTAACCATTTCTGCCACCCAGGAACTCCCATAGATATGTCTATAGACAAAGATATGTCTGTAGTGATAAATGACTAGTATACACATGTAGCAGAAAAATAATGACTATAAAATGTACCATACAGATTTGAAAATCATTATTACAATTTGATAAGATCTTATCACCTCTTAATTTTAGAAATATTATAGTTAACAAAATGTATAAAAATTGTAGATAATTTCATCTGCATTGATGGCCTACCTTTTCCACAAGCAGGGTTTGTCTTCAGTTGGGTACTTTGAAATTCTTGATGTGTGAATAAGTATTACAGAGATCTATGTCAAGTGATGCATATCTACAAGGGAACACGTTTTCTTTGTTCCAAGATCACAGTATAGATCTTAGACTCAGCCCAGTTCTCCTGCAGTTTTAGGCCTTTGATCTCTGGCAGCCTTGGATAAAGAAAATTTTGTTGCTCAGCCCAAATCCATCTCCACTACTCAGAAGGGTAAGCCCTTCTGACACTTGCCCAGTGATATCATCCCTGCAGCCCTGTCTGCATGTGTATGTATAGACATTAAGATGCTGTCCTGTGACCTTTCAGTTTTTCCTTTAGAAGTGGTGATGGATATACACCGAACCCTCCATACTCAAATTTGCCCTTTGATTCTTGAGAAATGAGAGCACCCCCTTCCTCAAAGGCTAGACATGGTTACAGTTGCAGACTTGGAACAGAGTGAAGATAACTGGTTCTCCAACATCTTTGGCATAATCTAAGGACACAGGCTAAAAGACATAAAATAAATAAATAACTTCCAAATTCCTAAGGAGAATCTTCTTTCCATCATAGACAGAATCATGTATAGGAAAAGAAAACAAA